CTGTAAGAAAGGATGCGGGTGACGAATACAGAGGAAAACAGAAACATTCACATGAACTGACACAATCAAAGGTGACTGTAACAAAATCACAGAGACTGAGCAGGACTCAAATGACCAGACACGAGGATATGCCCCCAGCCCAGCCCTCTGTGGAAGTGAGAGGTCCACAGGCACTAGACACTGCGTATAGTTTCAGATTTTTTTCAACATATGGATCAGTCGTGCTAATTTCTCCCTTCTTTCTGCTCTCCAAAAAAGCACTATTTGTCTTATGGGATGGCCCGGAAGCTTGGGGGCGGAGAGAGTACATGGGACATTGTGGTGATACAAGAAACATAAAATATTAATAAAAGCTTTTTTTTTTAAAGAAAGAAGAGATCATTTCATTTACAAGAAATTGAAAAGCTTTTGCAATAACAAAATGCAATGAGGATAAGAAAGGAAACTTAACTGGGAAAAATCCTTGCATCAAATCTCTGATAAATATGTGATATTAAAGAATTGAAAACTACTAAATAACCATATGAAAGACTGTTCTAAATCACTAGAAATAACAGAACTACAAATAAAAACATTTCATCTTAAATTTTAACTCATACCCAGCAAATTGGAAAAGATGCGCAAACTCGATGCCAGGGGGCCAGTGGAAAGAAAGGAAGCAGGGCACTGTCGGTAGAACGTTTGGTCCGACCATTCAGAATTATGGTGGTTGGTTGGTTTTTAAAGGCCCTACTATGCTCCTCCCCTTAGACCCAGAGAGCTGCTGCTAGGCCCCTATGCAAAGGAGGTCAGAGACAGAAATAGAGGCGCCATGTAAACTAAACAGTCCCAGCAGCCTTTGTACACCCCCTACTGGGGAAAGACTAAACTAACCGTGGAATGAATGCAGGAGGTAAGGTGAGGGAGAGGGCGAGGAAGATGGCTTCTGGTTTTCACCAGGAAGCCAGATGAGACTCTACTCAGCCCAAGCCAAAAGGACAAAAGACTAATGCGTGCAAAGAACCTTCCCCGCAGTGACCAACAGGGAATGACTGGGGCATCCGAGCAGAGCTGGCCAGGCCTCCTCTGTGCACCAGCCTCTCCCCCAGCTCCCACAGAGGCAGCAAGAACACCCTCCTAGGGAAGGGTTCAAACGGGACGGGTGACACCACGTGCTCCTTAACACCGAACAGGAAAGGCGAATTTAAGCGCACCTCCTCACTCCCAGGAGTCAAACACAAATGAACTTAGCCATCTCTGACCAAAGACGCAAGGAAAGACAAAATTCTAGCTAGCGGTAGTATTTCCACGCGGTAATGGTGTCACATTTAGAGGCGGCAACAGTCCGAGGGATCTCCCAGACACCCACAGAACCAAGCACTCAGAGTATGTCGGAGGGGAGGCCTGCTCCCGTTGGTACCCGCCCCATCTCAGCATTTGTGGTGACATCAGGACAAGTGTCACTCACCTCACTTCACAGCACGAGGAGACTGGGGGGGCCCTAGGTCCAGCCGGACCAAGCGTGGGGCTCTTCCCAGGCCTGTTTCTGTCTGGGATCTGTGGGCACACCCTTCTGTGCACCGTCTCTAACCTGCCCCTCCATCTTAACTCTGCCTCTCCCTTAAAGGGTCCAAGGATCAGTTTCATGTAGTGATCTCACCACCATGGATCCGGCGGTCATCTCTGGGCCGATACCTTCAAATCTATCCAATCTGTTGCCAAGGCATCTCTTGCATGTGCCCCCTTCTCTCCTCTGGCCCTGACCCATGGTGGGGCAGGCCTCATCACCTCACCTTGGACTATGGCAACAGCTGCTGGTGGGTCTGCCTGCCTCACGCCTCTCCCACCCCAGCACGGATAAATCGGAGAGCATCGACAAAGGGAAAGCACTAGAATTAATAGGGATTGGGAAAGGTTTTCTATAGAAAGTGGGATTTTTGGTTGGGACTTGGCCAGGAGGCCAAGATGAGAAAGCTCCAGCCACGGGGCACAGGCAGGGAAAATGTCCAGAGTGTCTTACTTGAGGAACAGAAGGAGGCTGGTGTTAGTGCATCAAAGAGTATGTGGTAAGCACTACTATTCACTACTGTTCTAGAAATGCTCGTTGCAGCAATCAGAAAACAAAATCAGAGGAATTAAAATAGGCAGTGGGAAAACAAAACTATCCCTCTCTGCAGCTGATGTGATGTTATACTTGGAAAATCCTAGAGAAGCAACTAAAAAGCTGGCTGAAATAATTAACAACTTCAGCAAAGTTTTGGGATATAAAATAAACCCACATAAATTATCAGCATTTCTACATAGTATCAACAAAACCAAGCCGGAGGAGACAGAGAGAAAAATTCTATTTAAAGTTGATAAATTTTTTCCCCAACTTATAAATGGTCAAAGGATATGAACAGGCAGTTTTCTGATGAAGAAATCAAAGCCGTCTATAGTCATGTGAAAAAATGTTCTAAATCAGTATCAGAGAAATACAAAGTGGGGCAGCTAGATGGCACAGTGGATAGAGCACCAGCCCTGAAGTCTGGAGGACCTGAGTTCAAATGTGACCTCAGACCAAACACTTGACACGTACTAGCTGTGTGACCCTGGGCAAGTCACTTAACCCCAACTGCCTCACAAAAACCAAAAAAAAACAAACAAAAAAAAGAAATACAAATTAAAACAACGCTAGGATACCACCACACACCTATCAGCTAATGTGACAGAAAAGGAAAATGACAAATGTTGGAGAGGATGTGGAAAAGTAGGTACACTAATACACTGTTGGTGGAGTTGTGAACTGATCCAACCCTTTTGGAGAGCAATCTGGAATTGTGTCCAACCCTTCCTGGGTTCCAGATACTGGAATAGTTTGCCATACCCTTCTCCAGCTCATTTTACAGATGAGGAAACTGAGGCAAAAGGCTTAAGTGACTTGCCCAGGGTCACACAACTAGTAAGTGTCTGAGGCCAGATTTGAACTCACTAAGAAGAGTCTCCCTGACTTCAGGCCTGGGGTTTAACCACTGTACCACCATTACTAGGTCTGCATCCCAAAGAGATCAAAGAAAAAAGAAAAGGACCTATATGTACAAAAATATTCACAGCAGCTCTTTTTGTGGTGACAAAGAATTAGAAATCAAAGGGAGGCCCATCCACTGGGGAAGGGACGAACGAGCTGCAGTGTATGATTGTGGTGGAATATGAACGTGCTACAAGAAGCAATGAGCAGGATGGCTTCACAAAAACCTGGAGAGACTTACACAAACTGGTGTGGAGCAAAGGGAGCAGAACCAGAGCGCCGCACACAGTGACAGCGGCGATGCACAGCGATCAGCTGGGAATGACTGAGCATGATCTCAGACAGTGCCAAAGGGCCTGTGTGAAAGACGTTGTCCATCCCCAGAAAAAGAGCTGACAGTCTGAACCCAGATCGAAGCATACTTTTTAAAAAACTTCTGTTACTTTTTTCTTCTTTTTGGCCTATGTTTTCTTTCCCAAAATGGCTAATATGGAAATCTGTTTCGTATGACTGCGTGTGTATAGTCTTGACTTCTCAGTGAGGGGGGAGAGGAGGGAGAGAGATATTTGGAACTCAAAATTTTTTTAAAAAAATGTTAAAAATGGTTTTTACATGGAAGTGGAAAAGAAAAGAATTTTTTTTAAAAGAAGTATGTCGTGAGGTATAAGGTATAAGAACCCTAGAAAGGTGTGTGCATGCATGTGTGTGCGTGCGTGTATATGTGTGTGTGCGCGTGTGTTGGTAGAAGGGGGGTATATGCCAGGTTATAAAGGGCTTTGAATACCAGAGAATGTTACATTTGACCCTGGAGCTGGTAAGAAACCAATGGAGTTTAACGATTAGTTGTGTGACATGGTCAGACCCGTATTTTTAGATCACTGACAGCGCTGGAGGATGGACTAGAGTGGGAAGAGGCTTGAGGCCAAGAGACCATCCAGGTGGTCACTATAAAGGTCCAGGAGTGAGGCAATGAGGGCCCAGCCACACTAGGAGGGAGGCAGTGTCAGAGGAGAGAAGGGGGTGTATTCGAGAGATGTCACAAAGGTGAAACCAAGAGTCCTGGGCAACACACTGGATGCTGCCTAAGAAGAAGGGGACAGTAACAGTAATGACAGCTACCATTTGAACAGCACTTACTATACGCCAGCACTATGCCAAAGGCCTGACACTTATCATCTCATCGGATACTGACAACAACTTTGGGAGGTAGATGCTATTATTATCCCCATTTTGCAAATAAGGAAACTGAGGCAGGCAGAGCTGATGTGACTTGCCCAAGATCACACAGGGAGTAAGTATCTGAGGCCAGATTTGAACTCAGGTCTTCCTGACTCCTGGGCCAACCCTCTGTACCGTACCGTGTAGCTGCCTAAGAAGAAGGGGACAGATATAAGAGACGTTATGTAATCAAAAGTGTCACGACTCAGCAATGATGAGATGGAATGGTACAGGGTCTGCCAAAGATGACCCAAGGTTGGGGATCTGGGTAACCACAAAAACAGTGGGGCCCCTTGACAGAAACTGGGGAGAGGGCGAAGGAAGAAAGTAAGTTGAGTCTGGGCATGTTACATTTAAGATGCCTCTAAAAGTCCGGTAGGAAACGTCCAGGAGGTGGCTGGATACACACGACTAGAACACAGGGCGAAAACATCAGTTTTGCGTCCATGTGAGCGCTTGAGCACCTACTCACCCATACCTCCCCCACCCAGAACCTACGGACAGTAACAGGTTTTAGACCAGTGACAGACGCTACCTAATAAGAAATTCTTACAGGACAAACACAGCTTCTGAAAGAAATTAAACCTTTAAAGAACGACATGAAAAAAATGCTCAAATTCTTTAATAATCAGAGATGATCATATTACATATAAGAACAGGAAAAAAATTTAAAAAGAAACTCTGATGTTGGTGGGGCATCAGAAAGTTCATATGATGAGTGGCACTATAAAATGGTACAAATGTGTGAACAGCAATCATGTGGGATGTAATAAGTCACAAAACGAATTAATCCTACCTTCCTGTGAGGTAAGAGCCAGCATTATAGATGAGGAAACAGAGAACCAGAAAAGTGAAGCCATTTGTCCAGGGTCGCCGAGCTAAGAGAACTTTTCCTGACCCAAAGGTTCAGTATTCTGTATCCACTACATCAGGGAGGAAAGGAGAGAAGGAAGGCCGAGGGGGCAAGGCTAGAAGGAGAGACAAAACAAAATCATTTTCCTTGTTAATTCATTTGCTTTTGCCTCCTTGGAGAGGAAGGATCTGGGGTCAGGCTGTGCTTCGCATGTGATTTTCTGATTATTTTTGTTGATGTTATTAAGTTTCTAACAGAGAAGATGTGAAAGCTGTGGCCAAACCTTCAACATTTGTTCATTCACTGCCTTGTGCTCTTGTGGGTTCAAGAGTCACTCCTATCATCAGCTAGCCTAAGATAAGATCTGGGGGTCTCTGCCGCCCTTCGAGCTAACAACATTGCCACAGACAGGATGAATATCCCCCAAGTCCACAGAACTTACTGCAAGGAGCGGGGCAAGGCCCAGCCTCACAAAGGGACGCCAGGGTGGCGTGCACCAGTGACCTACGGTCAAACTGCCAATTTCCTGGGAAAAGCCAGCTTCACAAACAACGTACTGAGGCTGCGTACGTGGAGCCCAAATGCAGATCTGAGCCAATGTTGGCCATTGAGAGAGGTAAGCCTCGTGAACTGGGAGGTGCCAACGTGTGAAAGGGCCTAGAGGTCTGGTTCTGAGCTTCATCTCTGTTTTCATGATAAAATTTTCTTAAACTTTAATATTTTGTTTTGCATGATTGAACACGTACAACCAACATCAAATTGTTTAACTGCCTCCAGAGAGTGGGGATGGAAAGAAAAAATGTGGACTCAAAATTTTTAAAACCCGGAATGTTAGCTTAGATTCCTAGAATCTAGCCAATAGCTCACTAATGTTCAGATGCCTTAAGAGTCTGCCCAATATGACGGGTGTTCTAATAAACCTCGTCTTTGGCTAAAAAGAAAAATGAATGTTAAAAACCGTCTTTACATGCAACCTGGAAAAAAAATATTATTTAAATAAACTTCAATATTTATGTTGCTGGATGACCCACTTGTGTTTTGGAAGGGGAAAAGTAAACCAAGGTCCACTTCACGTGAAGCTCTCCCCCCCAGTTAGCCAAGTAGGTAACTTTGAACAGAAGCTGAACCAGACTGGAATGTGTGCTGATGAATCTTGCTCAAAACCTCCAGAATCTCTGGGCGTTCACAAAGTCCCACTGGGAGTGTCTAGGGGACCTAGATCACTTACTGGATTACTATGTGCCCCAGGCACAAGGAGAGCATGCAGACGATGGAATAAAGCCAGGGACAGTTTGAAATCCAATTCTCATATACAGGACTTGTCGTGTTTTCATTCAGCAAATCTGCAGCGAATTCACTGCCTCTAGGAACTACCCCACGTCAAAGTATTACCTTAACAAAGTGGTTACTTTCCATAGACACTAGGTCAAATCAGCCTCTATGGAAGACTCCTTAAGAGTGACTGAAATGCCTGGTAGTGGGTCATTAATGGCATGGCCCAGTAATGGAGAGAACTGTGGCTGGCGTTAATTAGGTGAAAAGAAGGGGTGTTCAAGCTGTTTAAAAAAGGGGAGGATTTGTAATCGAGAAGAGTGGTACGGGAGTCACTGACCTTAAACAATACTGTATTTTATGTAGCAATTACTGGTGCTGTCAGGTCATATCCACACTAAGTCAGAAGCTCCGTGGGGGCAGGCTAACGCCTGTTTTAACTGATCTGCATGACTGTGTGTTATCTTGTGTTTCTTCCCTCCCCTCACCTGGCTCTAAAGAATCAGGTCCTGAGTAGTGTTTCTGCTTGAGATCTGCTGCCCCTTGCTCCCCCTCCCCCCATGACTTCCCCCCAACAGGCCCAACAGCTGGGAGAGGAGATGAGCCCCCAACCCCCACCCTGCCCAGGCCCTGGCTGACATCACTCTGCCCTTATTCAACACTGCAACACTGCCCCCTTTAGGACAACGCATTCCCTGCAAGAGGACCCCAGGCCACTCCAGCCAGGAAATATTGTGGCATCCCAGGACTCTCTTTCTAGGGGATTTTTTTAAAAATAAAAGTTGAAAAGAGCCTGGGAAGCAAAGGCTGGCACCCAGTGGGGCCTGCGATGCCAACAGTCAAGCTGGTCATGAAAAGAGAGAAAGGCCTGGGACAGTGAATTCTCACTTTCCACCAAGCCCGGGCCAGCAGACCCTCCTCTGGGCCCAAGGAGAAGCATTTGGCGTCAGCCTGGAAGCAGAGCTGCTCACGGCCCAATCCCCCTTTCTTCCCAGAGCCTGGAGGCCCCTTGCAAGCTGGTGGCCAGCCTTAGTGCAGACACCCCATCATCTCAGCCCAGATGGCCAGCCTCAGCCTCTGGGGCAGCAGGGATCACAGCCGTGGGCCCCACGCCCAGCCGCTGGCATGACTTTCTCTAACAACATTCTGAAGTTCTGGAGCCAGAATGGCATCTTAGGTGATGGAGTCTCCCCAGGGAGGAAGAGAAGCTGATGGAGACCAGAGAAAGGAGACAAGAGATCCTGGGTTATAAGTGATATGAGAAAGGAGCAGGTAAAGGTCAAGGCTGGGCACAGAACAGGCAAGGCCAGAGGGGCAGAGGAGAACTGCAGCTACATCGAAGGCCTGGGAGGTGGGAGGTGACGTGGAAGCACTGGATCACGGAGGTTGAGTCCAGGCACACCTCTGGAGCACGTCTTTGATGGAGCTGGCAGGACGCTCAGGGGACTCTCGCCTCCCACGTCCTGGACACCAGACTTCTGCTGGTGCTGCAGCCGCAGACAGTACCAGGGCTCCTGGCAGCCTCAGAAAAGTAAGATTCGTCCCATCTTGGTCTGGCCAATCTAATAGAAAGAACCCAAGAGTCTTAAATCTCGGGATGCCAGCTGTTCATTGTAAGATACAACTCTACAACCCTTCTGCAAAGCCATTTGGAATCATGCAAATCAAGGGGCTAAAATATCCTTACTCCTTGACCCAGAGATCCCACTACTGAGCAAATGACCTAAGGAAGCCAACGACCAAAGGAAAGATCCCACCTACACCAAGAACTGGAAACAAAAGAGATGCCTGAGGTGTAAACAAACTGTGGCATGTGAAAAATGTGATGTCAGGGTGCTATAAGAAATGTCAAACTCAATGAGCAGAGAGAAACAGGAAAAATTTACAGGAACCAATGCAAAGTGAAGGAAGCAGAGACAGGAAAACAACAGACCCTAGGACTATAACAATGCAAACAGAAAGACCCACCACAAAACAATAGGAAAATCAGTGCTGTAAAATGACAAAGAACAGGGGGCGGAGCCAAGGTGGCGGAGTGAAAGCAGTGACTTGCCTGAGCTCTTCTCCAAACCCCTCCAAATAAATACTCACAAAAAATGGCTCTAAACAAATTCTGAAGCAGCAGAACCCACAAAAAGACAGAGTGAAACAAATTTCCAGCCCAAGACAACCTGGATGATTGATCAGAAAGGTGTATCGCGCCGGGCTGGGAGCGTGGCATGGACGCGCAGGCTGCAGCGTGGGCCCGCAGGCCACAGCAAATCTGGAGCAGCCTCAGTCATCTCGGGCAGCTGTGGAGGTTTCCAGACTCCTCAATCCACCAATGCCAAAGACAACTTAGAAGGTCAGTGGGAAAAGTGTGTTTCTGTTGGTGCTGAGAAAGGAAGGCGGGGTCTCAGCTCCATTCCCCAAGAGCTGGTGCCCTGGGGGGGGCAGCTGCTTCCCGAGCTTCCGGCCCACAGACTGAGGGGGAATCCAGTGGCTGATCAGAGAGGGATTGCAGGGATCTCTTTGTCAGTGCTGAGACAGGAATCTCTTGCTTTGCCCGTGTTTGGATCTGGGTCACAGTTCTGGGCGCAGTGCTGGGGTGAGGAGGCTGGCTTGGTGGAGCTTGTAGTGGCTGTGGAGAGAACCCTCCTCACAGTTACAGGACAGAAAGGAGTACTTGTAGTCACAGGCCAGGAAAGGAGTAAACACCTCCCCCTTATCATACCACCTTGGAAGAACTGAAAATTTACAGGTCCCTACAAGTATCTCTGAAAACAGCTACAAACCCCTGAAGCTTGGGACAGTACATTCTCCACATTGGAAGCAGATTCTACCTTAACAAAGAGTTTAAAACTCAAGTAATTGGCCGGGATCATGAGCAAGCAGGCAAAAAGAGTCAGACTATATTATCTTACTTTGGTGAAAAGAAGATCAAAATATACAACCAGAAGAAGACAACAAAGTCAAAGCTCCTACATCCAAAGCCTCCAAGAAAAATATGAATCAGTCCCAGGCCTTGGAAGAGCTCAAAAGGGATTTGAGAAGCAAGTAAGGAAGTAGAGGAAAAACTGAGAGTGATGCAAGAAAATCATGAAAAACAAGTCAACAGCTTGCTAAAGGAGACCCAAAAAAATACTGAAGAAAATAACACCTTAAAAAATAGCCTAACCCAAATGGCAAAAGAGGTCCAAAAAGCCAATGAGAAAAATGCCCTAAAAAGAAAAATTGGCCAAATGGAAAAGGAAGTCCAAAAGATTACTGAAGAAAATACTTCCTTAAAAATTAGAATAGAGCAATTGGAAGCTAGTGACTTTATGAGAAATCAAGACACTGTAAAACAAATCCAAAAGAATGAAAAATTAGAAAACAATGTGAAATATCTCATTGGAAAAACAACTGACCTGGAAAATAGATCCAGGAGAGAGAATTTAAAAATTATTGGACTATCTGAAAGCCATGATCAAAAAAAGAGCCTAGACATCATCTTTCAAGAAATTATCAAGGAAAACTGCCCTGATATATTAGAACCAGAGGGCAAAATAGAAATTGAAAGAATCCACAGATCTCCTCCTGAAAGAGATCCCCAAAGGAAAACTCCTAGGAATATTGTAGCCAAATTCCAGAGTTCCCAGGTCAAGGAGAAAATATTACAAGCTGCCAGAAGGAAACATTCAAGTACTGTGGAAACACAATCAGGATAACACAAGATTTAGCAGCTTCTACATTAAAGGACCCAGGGCATGGAATATAATATTCCGGAGGGCAAAGGAGATAGGATTACAACCAAGAATCACCTACCCAGCAAAACTGAGTATAATCCTTCAGGGGAAAAAATGGTCATTCAGTGAAATAGAG